CGGCTTTTTTCTTTTTGCTTATGTGGTGCTGAGGAATCGAACCCAGGGCCTCAGGCATGCAAGGCAAGCGCTCTACCACTGAGCCACCTTCCCAGCCCAGGAGGTCCCATTTCTTTATGGACTCTCCGTATCTGGTAGGGGACACAGAATAAGTTCTGTTCACTAAATATTTGTTAATGGTTAAATAATCATCATCATATTGATAGCCCACTTTATCATGTGTTATTGACTAGCATACTGTTGTATTTTATATGTTTTAACTTATTTAATTCACAGTTCTGTGAAAGGGACATTCTTATTTCATTGACAAGATAGTACAATACACATTCTGATTATAAAAGACAGAAAGAAAAAGTTTTTATAAGCTTATATTACTTATAAAAGGAGGGATTTTATTTTGACTTTTTTTTACACATTCATACAATGCACTCCAATCTTTCATCTGCCACTCTATTTTATACTGATCCCCCTCACTAATACAATTTCAAGAGATTTCATTGTTCTCTTTTAAAACTTGCTGTCAATCTATTTTGACAATATCCATTCTCTTTTACCCTCCTTGGTCCAGCTCTCTCTAATTAGTACCCACTCCACCGAAGAGCTTGAGAAACAAGAAGCTTTACTGCTTCCCTATGATCATTACAGATCTTTTCTCTGAGGGAGAGATACACACTATACATAACAATGATGACAAAACAGCCATCATACTGGAAGGCCACAGTGCTTCATGCTGCCAATTGACAAATCCTCCCATGCTGGGAACAACTTACTTTAATAATGTTCAGTTTGGGTAATAAGCTGCAGTCCGCCAGTGTTAGCTGATCCCCATCCAAAAATAATCTTCTAGACACTGTGAGCTCCTCAGCACTGTTTGCATCAATTTCTTCCAGAAGTGGGGTGTTTAAGTAGGTATCCAGACGCTTAAATTCTCTGAGCAGAGATTTTTCAAAATCTGAGACAACGAAGTCATAGGTTTAGCTGTAAGTGTGGTCTGAATCTATATGAGTTTTAAATCTAATAATAAGTAGTTATATCTTTATAACTAAATATTCTTAACATTTTTTTCAGAATTTAGACATTTCTATCTATAGGCATTGCTTAAACTGGTTCATAAAACCTACTTAAATATCTTGAATATTCAACCATCTACCCATGAGATGGAGTCAGATCAAATGGTGAGTGGAGATCTTGGACTTTTCTTGAAGACGAAATGCGTAGGAGAGGTAAAGAAAGAAAGAAAAACAAACAAACAAACGTTATCCAAAATGGAAAAGTAAAAAAGTCAAAGAGAAAGGTATTTTTCATAATTCAGAGAAAGTTTGTGAGAGATAACAGGTGCTACACTTTAAGGCACCTTGAAGATACATAGTCCTTTGTGATTGGATGGTGCTGATCATTGCTATTTTGAGTTTTGGGTTCGAAATCTAATAATATTTAATGCATTAGAATTTCAGAAAACAGAACAGAAAATGAGAGGAGGACTAGGCTGTTCCCCATATACACTATAATTTCAAGAACATTCTGGTTTAGTTGAGAATGTGAAATTGAGCAAGTAAGAGAGAAAAGCAGAGATTTATAAAGGGAAATCTTACTTTTATTTGCTTCCTTTTTTGTATTTTTAATATATGCAGAAAACTTGGCAAAAAGGTTACAGCCCACATCAAAAGACTCCTTGTATTTGGGACTCAAGTGAGGATATCTTTAAAAGAAACAGGAGAGAACTACATTTACATATAATAATACAAAGACCAGGTGCATAGCTTATACTGTACAGAGAATGTATTGGGAAATGAAGGTATTCAAGAAATGTCTCCAGGGCTGAGAAGGTGGCTCAGTGGTAGAGCGCTTGCCTTGCATGCATGAGGCCCTGGGTTCGATTCCTCAGCACCACATAAGCAAAAAGAAAAAAGCCGGAAGTG